TTTTGCTAAGCTTTATCCATCTTGTATTCAGTATATATGGTGATACTGGGTACTGTTTTACTTTTGAAATGTTGTGCACTTTGACCAGCAGTTGACAATGACAGTAGAAGTGTTGAATCAACAGGAATCGCAAACCAAAAGGACTCAGGTGGAAACTACTTGAAAGTGCATTTAAAACAGAATAGGAGGCACTTCTTTACACAAAGGGTGGGAGGAGTCTGCAACAAGACGTTCAGCCAGGCTGTGGCAGCTGATACCCTGGCTTCTCTCACAACCTGGCAGGACATGGTTCTCAGCTCAATTAGCCACTAAAAGCCAGGAGAGCTAAACAAGACAACAGGGAGCCTGTCCGTTAATAATCATCAGACCCTCTAACTCTCCCGGGATGTAGTTCCTTGGAAAGCTGTGGAAATGGGTGCGGGATGTGGCGCCTCGGAGCTGTGGAAAGTGAACCTGTCCGCACAGCTCTGGCCTATTTAGCGCCTAATCAGGCTGTGCTGCTGGGAGCCCAATCCTGGCGCTAAGGAGGCTGAGCGGGTTGTCCAAAGCTGGCTTTGAGGATAAGACCCCCAGATAAGCCAGAAAATCTTCAAGCAGTTTCGAAAAATAGGCAGCTTATCACACAGCATAATCAGCTAACTGCTGCAGCGCTGACACCCGCTGGGAGAGGGAGGGCCAGCGGGCGGGGGGCAAGAGCGAGAGGGGTGGGACAGTTTCTGGAGGAGGGACAGCACACACCTGTTCAGGCTCCAGTAGCGCAGGGCTGCTGGGATTGCTGGGACCCTGGGTTGCTAATATGATGGTTCACTGAATCGCTGAGGCACTGAGACATTGAGTCCCTGGGGAGCTGTGTCACTGAATCACTAGGTCCTTCAGAGATTGAATCACTGGGGCACTGAGACATTGAATTGCTGGGGAGCTGGGGTGCTGTGTCACTGAGACATTGAATTGCTGGGGAGCTGTGTCACTGAATCACTAGATCCTTCACAGATTGAATCACTGGGGAGCTGTGTCACTGAATCACTAGATCCTTCACAGATTGAATCACTGGGGAGCTGTGTCACTGAATCACTAG